AGGGAAAGACTTGTAAAGGTGATCCCTGGATTTTTACTCTGAGCAGATCTCGTGCATTAGTAGGTCAGACGAATGCATAAGACAAGGAGTATGCTTTCATAAAAGCTGATGTTGCTTATGAAAGTTAGGTCTGTTACAATGCACTAGGTGAGCCTCACAGATTCAGGAAAAAAAGAAGTAGAAGGTGAATTTAGTACCATAGCTGCCATGAGATGCTTATAACAGTAGGTGCAGCTCTCCAATAATTTCCTTAGCTAACGTCTGCAAGGACAGACACTGCCTATCACAGGATCTCTCCATCTGATACTCTTTCTCTAACTAAAACTCAGCTACTCACCGCTCAGCAGGCGCAGAGTATGAAGTCACGAAGCAAGCAGCTAACAGCTAATTCAAGAGGGGATAAAGCAGAAATCCTCTTGATATAATAACTTTTTGACCTCTTCATTGTCAGCTGGCCTAATCAAACTGTAATCAATGAGTGTTTTCCCTATATGCAAGCTGTTGAGAAAGCAAATTAATTGGCTCGCTTGAAAGATTTAAAGCACATGAAACTTGTGAGTGGTTTAACAGTTTTTTCAGGGACTGTTGTGAGGGAATAGCTGCAGAGACACTGCAATGCAGCACAACACAGCTCGCAGACCACTGACACTGAATATCTTGCAAAAATCTTAGGGCTAAGTTCTGCCCTTTCACACTGCTGCAGGGGGAAGGCACATGAGCATTTGAGACTAAAATGTGCAATAAAGCTTTTTAGCAGCTTCATTAGGAGTTCAGTATTCTGTCGATCCCCACTCCCAAGCTGTGTCTTTCAGGACAAATTGTCACTATTTCAACTAAAGTTCACCTTCCATTGAAAATGTATTTCAGTTTCACTGACAAAACGTTTTTTTCTTAACTCCTTCCATACTGGGCTGTAATTTACAGCTGTTGCCATTAAAATCAAAATATGTCCTGCATAAAACCCAGGAAGTGTAAAAAGTGTTTCCCTATGTGGCATATATTCCCATTTTAATTTCTAATGAATTGTTTAATAAGGACACACTGTTCCACCCTAAGATTATTTTCCAGGCTCAGTTTTTTATTTTGCAAGAGAAAAGGGCCTACTCACTAGGTCCATGTTTATACAGTGTTTTAAAAGAGATCTGAGAGTTGCTAAGCTGGGAGGAGAGTTAAAATGCTTCCAAGAATATTAAAAATTGGAGAGCAAAGCTAAATATAAGTCATCGGTTTCTCTTCTAATTTCGTTCTAAGTAGGTTTTGGTCCTTAAATTCTCTTTAATTTCATTTCAACCGTGCGTAGAAGATGCAGGCAGCACATGAATACAAAAAGTCATCTTTCTGAAGCCTGCAGGATGGCTAGCGTACTTTGAACACGCGCATAAACTACACCCACAATGACTGTTAGAGATCACAATGTTTAACATTAATTGACCTCTATTTACACAATACATGTGTACATAAGATACAGTACAGAGGTTATTTTCCGTTTTTAAAATAAACGTAATGAATGACTCAAAAAACCCAGAGTTATGTCTGCTGTTCCTAAAGCTATAAACGTATACTCAGAGTTGAGCTCTGATTTTTTTAATCTCTGTGATTTGCTTTCCTCTTGCTTCTAATAATATTTCCCTATTTTTGTTCACAGAATTTGCACTTCTGTTTGGACTTTCATACCTTTTTTTTTCTCTTCTATTTCTTAGAGAGACGAGGGAAATAAAGATGGTGAGTGTACATGAAGAAAACAGAGACTGAAGAGCAGAAGAGCTGAGGAGTTGTTCTCCATTCTTCATACTATCCCTTGTATTTCCATTCAGTTCCTTCTCATTAAATCACTGCTTGTATCTTCCATTCTCCCTTTGTTCACTGTATCTGTGCTCTTTTACAGAATTTTCTCCTACTTCCAAGACCACTTTCATCTGAGGGACAGGCAGCATGGTTTGGATAAACACCATCATCAACCACAAGTCTGACAGTATTCAAAAAATTTTGTGATGCTATTCTGTTTTATCTGAGCTAGTCTCTGCATTTGTTTATTCCAGACAGGATGAGAAAACAAAGTGCCATAATATCAAGAGGAAAAGCTATTCAAGTTGATGGCAAGCACTAGGTTTTTTTCAGGAGTTGCCATTCTCATGAGATTTGCTGCCAAGTTGATACACATAAATGTGAGGAGAGTTCATATGAGGTTCAGATGAACTTTTGACTGTTTGAAACAAGGAAAGGGAAATTTAAACTTTGAAAGCTGTTTCTATAGTAGTCAGCTCATTTTCTTCCCACAGCAAAGTATATTATTTGTTTTTGGAGACATTCTATTATTGCCAAGGTAAGTGTGTTGTAAGCTTTTCTCTACTGCATAAAAACTAAATTATTGGAACATAAGTTTTTCTACTAACAGTTTTAATTGCTAATCATCAGCTGGCTTATGGTATTGACTGGGACTCATATCATCATCACTTAATACCTGAAATATCAATAGCTAAAGGTTTCATTGAATTTTTGCAACAGCTAAAGGCTTAATAAGCTGGCAAAGATTTAAAAAGTTATTGGTTAACATTTGCAGTGGCTATTCTTGGATCCCCCCAAAAACCTGAAATTGTAGTAATAACTCAGAGCTTCCAGTATGACAATGGAAAAATCAAGCTACAAGCCTACTTTGCTTATGTTCTTTACTAGTTCTGGAAGCATTTTAAAGTGAGGAGGCCCTGGAGAAAGCACAGCTGTACAGTTTTAAGACTGTATTTTAGGACTATGTTCCAATATATGCATCAGATAAGATATGGTAATTAAGAGATAAAGTATAAATTATATAGAAAGGACAAAAAGTGTTGTGCAGGATCTTTCAAATAAAATAAATCCTTAAATGCTTAAATACTGTAAATCTTTAAATACTTCTCTGGGAAGGTTATTTAAACAACTGTTTTAAACCTGTTTCATCTTTCTTGCTCTTAGGGAAATTTTAAAGAAAGAAATACTTCATTTCATATCTATGTTTACACAGTTTGCATTAACCAGTGTCTCAAATTAAAATTACATACTTCATCCATAAGAGAGCATGTGCTGGACAACTACTCAATTCCCTCACTACCTTAAAAAATTCAATCTTTTCCTATAAAAACACTAGCTTTCAGGCCCTGTTCTTCACCAGCTCCACTCTCTTCAGTGTGTTTTGAACAATTTGGGTGAAACGGAAAACTGGCTGTGCTTCACTGACAACAAGTCACACAGTCGGGACTAGTCTGCCCTCAACAGGGTTTTTGGTGAATGGAGCAGCATTATCCGAAAAATAAACTAAATATGCAATGTAATACTTGATGGATTTTATCAGCATCATTTGAATTGCATGTTCACCAAAACTGAATTTGACATATTACAGAGCTGGTAAAATATAGGGGGAAAGTATGTCAACTGAAATTTCAAATATAATAGGGAAAATCCGTCAAGTGATGTATTTTTCTGTGTATTAACAATGGCATAGAACAACTCTGAAATGCCAGTGATCGCTACAAGTACTCAGACACCATGGTGATAATTGCAGTATAAAATCACCAGACAGCAAACAAGACTGCTGGAACTAATGGGAACATGGTTTTATTCCGAATTCACTGTGGATAGCTATCTGTAATGGAATTGCTTTTCAATACTTTTTCTTTGAAATAACTGATTATTGTTTATGCATTCTTATATTAATATGTTCCATTTATTTTACCAAAGATAGATAGACACTTGCAATTTCATTTGCTCTCATCTGCTCATTTCTTAGTATGGCTTAATTTATTCTGCTTGGTGACTCAAGTGCAGATAAACCAATAAATGGATGCATGATACCGGATCTGAAGCACAATTTAAGTTTGACGAAAATACCAGCTGTTTTTCTCTTTGCGTGCTATCATCAGGATCCAGAGAAACAAAAGAAGGTATCATGCTGGATAAACTCTGGCAGTACTAATTCATCTTCCCAGCATCTCTGAAAAAACTGACTAGCTGAACCTGTTATTAGAGCTGTTGGGTTTCACCCGTGACCTACGTGTGTCCTAGGCTGGGCACAATCAGACAGAATCCACAACTCATGTTGACAGGTCATAGCAGGACTTGTCAATTGAGCTAGAACTGTTTACTGAAAACTGATAAAAAGGTGCCAGCAAGTCTTCACAGACACCTGTAGTTGCTGAATTCACCTGGAAAAAGTTTCAAAGTAACAACTACTGCAGAGGAAAACCATCATTAGTTCCTATCAGAAAGTAATATTCCTTTCATGAATTCCTTGAGAGCCTCAGATAGTCATATCAGGAAAAAACGTAGCTCATGGACAATGAGAAGGAGTTTTGTCACTTAACTCTGGACTTACAAAATCAATCAATGCCTACTTCTTCCCACTGAAACTAACTTAAGTTCTAGAAGGCTAAATACTAGACACCAAAAGCTGGATGAGAGACATCCCACCCTAAATGTCTTATATTTTGCTGAATTTCCTGTTGATGCTTTCATTTAGAAAGCTGTCATTTTCTCTAGCACATACTTGTTCTCTGGGCCTAATTGCCCTGGAGGTACAAGGCCTCCTTCAACCAAAAGTAATAATGGGAAGCTCTATGCATTTGATAGGAAGCATTTATCTTTGTTTAAGTCTGAAGCAACTTCAGATCTTCCTGGCATTTCTGTTCATTCTTAACTTATCTTTTGCACTGTCTCCAGAAGGAGAATAGAAAAGAACGTAAAATAAGCAATAATGAAAATAAAATGATTAACTAAGTGTTGATTACTGTCTTATTATATGCACATTTAAAGATAGTTCTTATAGTTGCATAAAATACTTCTAAAAGCAAAGTCTGTGACAAAAATACAGCCATTTCCTTGGGATAGAATTGCCACTTGAATTTTCATTCCAGATGACTTCTGATGATAGCTGGGAAAAGCACTATCTACACCAGCCTCATCCTGTTAAATGTGTGGCTTTAAAGCACTTATCTTTTACCATATGTCTTTAATTTTATTATTTTGCTTACCCTCCGGCTGGTATTGTGCTATGATTGTTACCGTCTGCCCTGCTCCTTTTAGCGCAGCTGCAGCCTGCTCGTGGGTAGCACCTCGAAGATCAATACCATTCACCTACAGAAGGAATGCAAACAACAACACATCTGAGTAGTTTAACATTAGACAGAAAGAGAGAGGTTTGTTGTTTTTTTTTTTAAATATCTAATGGATGTAAAGGTCAGGTTGCCCAGATGCAAAAGTGAAAGTACAAAATCAAAAAGGCTGAGAGGACGTTGCCTATGACTGGCCACGAGGCACTAATACTGCACGCCATAGTTTATGTACGCTTATCCACGCATATTCTCTGACCACTGCTTTTTTGGGGTTTCCTGCTCTACTGAGTTCATATTTTCGTTAATCTCTTCATCAGCCAATTTATTTAATATATAAGGTTTAAAAGATAAATTTTCTGCAGTGCCTGAAGGTCACTGTAGAATATTGCAGGCAAGGAAACCGGTCCTTCAGCTAGACTCTGCAAGCCCAGTCTGTAGCATCAGGGGAACCTGGAGATATATGTAGAGTCTAACAAAAACTGCTGGTTGGAGAACTTCCAGGGGAGAAATCCCATCTACCATTTTCTTTTCATGCAACGCCTCCTCCTATTGCCTAGAAATATCCCTGTATCTTGCACATGACAGCAGTGGAGTCGCTACCAGGTACAGCTTTGCTACCTCTGGCTACTTGACACCAATAGACCTTTCCATGGGGTTCCTCTGACTTAATGATCATTTTTTGTTGCATAAGCAGTGGAAGTGGGGCAGAGCAGAACAAAGTAGGGAAACCACCCCTAAAATTCATGAACAATTTCAGAGCTCTTCTGATTTGTGTTTGTGATGTTAAATGTTTTCTCAGCAGCAGCCCAAGGAAGAGACACAATTTGTATATAGAATTGTTAACCGCTCCAGTAATTTGAATCTTGCTTTTCAGCGGGAGTGTTACTGTCTGGCTACACTGAAGTATGTGGGATTTCTTTTATTTATTTATTTATTTATTTGACTTTCCTCCTTACTTCTACAAGTTTCCACTTCATAATGTTTCAGTGAAGAACAGGAAACTTTTGACATGTAAACAGCCTCAGCAGGACAGAAATCTATCTCTGATTACTCAAGAGAAGAAAAGAAAAAACAAAGGGCCAGGGGAGAAGAGAGAACAATGCCATCGATTTCACAGGCAAACAGGCCAAAACGCAAGCCCCAAATTCTCAGCAACAGCAACTTTTTTGTGTTTATTATTATCAACTGCTAACACAAGATGGCTAAGCACATACTGAAAATATGGATTTTATTTTATTTAAATATTAACAACTTTTTAAAGGGTTACAAAAATAGATTTGATTCCATAGAACTTTACAAATAACAGCTATTGAATCTGTTATGAATATATTTATTTGGATCAATTTGATCAGTTCTATGATAATTGCATTTAGAAACTGGCCCATCTTAACTTGCTGTCTTTCACCAGATCTTAGAGGACGTGATATTTTGGGAATGCGTTTAATTATTATTTATCACTGAATCATAGAATGGTTTGGGTTGGAAGGGACCCTTAAAGGTCATCTAGTTCAATGCCCCTGCAATGAGCAGGGATATCTACAACTAGATCAGGTTGCTCAGAGCCCCATCCAACCTGACTTTGAATGTTTCCAAGGATGGGGCATCTACCACATCTCTGGGCAACCTGTGCCAGTGGTTCACCACTCTCATTGTAAAAAAATTTTTTCTTATTTGCATGACAAAATCTAGTCTTTACTGGTATGTGAACAACATTTATAATATTATTCTTAGAAAAACTGATTTGTGATAGCAATAATGTAAAACCTAGGAGAACCCACAGTTTCTGATTCAGGAGACTGCATTATGCTGTAGAACTGATGACTGTACACAGAAACATAATTGTCTAGCTGAGGTTTCAGGTTTCTGAAAGTATGATTCCATAAGAATAAAATTTTCCCCAGTTCAACCTGTTTAGAAAAACATCTTTCCTCAATTAGTTTTTTGTCTTTATGACAAGGAAGCAAACCCCACATTTTTTCCTAAACAGCTCATCCTTTCTTCCCTCAAAAACTTTTTAAGCTCCTCAATTTGATGATCATTTAATATTTCTCCCCATCTTATTCACAAAAATTAGTTCTCCCTATTTCCTAAAAAAAATACTCTGAATTTCAACTGTCTATTATTTTAATGTCATTCAAAACTATAGAAGATCTAGAATTTTGGAGAAGCATGATTTGTTGCAATCTTTCCATGTTATACAAAAATAATTACATGCTGGCTTATCTTTAGATTGAGGAAGCAAACAAGTAAATGTGGAACTAGCATACCAGAAGAATATAACCTGTTCAAATCTTACCTTACTTACGTCCCCATGCACAGAAGTCCTATTATATAATCACAATAATGATGTGAAAGAGGAAATTAATTATAAGTTACCTTGAAGAAAAATAACTGTGCTTTTTTAACTAATTTGTCCATATGTGCATTCTGCAGTGGAGAGTATGAATACCATCACCATGCTGGTAATGCTTGATCTATGCATGTGTCTTAGACCCTTTGGGGAAGCCTATGAAGGGCCTAAGAGGCAGCATAGTACTATCTTCATGTTGTGCGACTTCTTTGCAAGGGGAGGAATCTCAGCAGATGGGAGGGAGGATGACTGGTGGAGTATATACAGGGGCAAAATATTTTAAGGAGTACTAAGGTAGCTTCTACAAGATAGATATCTTGTAGTAGAAGTGTAGGCTGGAAGACTACCATACCTAAAGAAACATTCAAAGCAAATGTCTGTGACAGAACATAATGCTTTATGAGAACAGGTATGTATGGATCCCTGTGTTGTTACAATCATACAATCTATGACAGGAACTGAGAGTTCTGGTACTGCCATGTATTAGTGTCTTTGGCTCATATATTACAAAGCGTTATATGCTGATATATACACTCTAATAACGTCTACATTTCTGTCACGTGAAGTGCACAAAATTCATGTTGTTTTTACAATTTCTAACTAGATTGTGTAAAGAGAAGTGACTATCTTTATTCACAAGTAATGGTCTAATGGTACTGAAAAGAAATTCTGAGCATAGGGCAAACGTAAGATAATAAAGATCTCAGTTGTCCCATCTTCCTGTTTGAAAGCAATGGCTGTAAAAATGTCTGGTGGAAACTTTCCAAAAAAAAATGGGCCAAAGGTTCAAATACTTCTGTCAAAGTTGTGTACAAAAACCTCAAGTTTGGTGGATGGCAAGACTAACATAGACCCTTGGAAAAATCTTGATATTCAGTCTAGGAATACAGTATCTTAGAAGGCAATAATTAAATGCACTCTAAAAGAACAAAGGAGAGAATCAGAGTTTTCAGTGCCATAAAACTGAATATATTTTAATGCACAACACTGAAAATATCTAAAGAGGAATATGGTGTTAATTAGGACTTAGTTTGCAACCTCTGTGGAGAATACAGACTTCCTGAAAGGAGCACAACTTAGCCTAGTGATGCAGAAGAAAGAGGTATCGTGCCCTACTTTTACTTGGTGATGGTGTTATGACACTTGATGCTGGATTGCCATGGGCACAGAGGTACCAGCATTACAATTACTCATTAACTCAGTACTGTAGTCACAGCTTTGGTACTGTGGAGGCCCGAGCAGAATCCTTAAGTTTAGGCAGCACAGTGCCTGTATCATGCCATAAAGGAAACCTCAGCCTTGATTCAGTGTCTCTGAAGACAACTTTGAAGCCAAGTCATCTTTTCTTTAATAGGGAGCTTGGGTTTTATCTATGTGTTTTTCCCTTTTGTAACTGGAGTCCTTGAGAGCATCCTGAGAAATAAGCAGTAGGATGAACTGAAAAAAAGCTTAAAGGAACATTCCTGAATTCCTGAGCTCCTGCACTGGGGAGATGGATATGGATGATATCACCTGGTCAGTATTAGAAGGTCCAGAAAATACAAAAGTGATTTTGTTTACGCTTAAGCTTGAAGAACTGTAGACTTTAAGAGAACACAAGCAATATAGGAAAACATTGTGGTGGTCTATAAAAGTTGTGTTAACAGAACACAAAGTTTTAAAAATCATTAATAAATCATCATAATCTCTCTGTAGAAAGAAGGAAAGGATATATGAAAGAATAAAGAAACCACATGCTTGTTGTCCTTCTCCTCTGAAAAACAATAGTTCTATCTATATGTGATCCAATAACTGAGATCCTAATAACACATCAAGAACATAAGACAGGAATTCCACCAAAGTTAAGTTATGCAAACATTTTTTCACTTTTCCACAGAACAACAAGAAGCCACTGAAATGGCAACGGACTAGTTTCTGCCCTTTGCACACTCATTCTGGAAGAAATGATTGCCTAAGGTGCAAACACAGCACATTATAGTGAGTGAATTTCTCTGAAATTGTGTTCACTTTTCTGCTAGGATATAGGCTGGTATGGATGCTTGAAGAGGACTTACAGGTCTGAGTGGCTGAAATCAAAAAAGCAAGGAAAAGAAATGTCAGAGAGAAAATAACACATCAATTCCATCTCCTGCAATTTTTATCAAGGTGATAAACAAGCCAGACAAAACAGATTAAGTAACATTGAACAGGTAAACGACCTGACTACACTACGTTGCCAAAATGGTGATCTCTCTCTTGAAGATGCACAGCTGCAGAACGAAATCAAAGAATCATTGCCAAATAGGTAGGTAGAAGTCTGTCTGCATGCTATTTTGCTCACCAATACCTGACAGGACCTCACTGCAGAATAATAGGCATTAAATTTAGAAGGGATGTATAATCTAGTCTGACTTTCTAAAGAACAAGAAAAGTAGATGCTAACTTGATTTCTGGGTATTATTTCCCAATATTTAAAAGCAAACATAATCAAGTCCCAAACCTTCTAGCTAAAAAACAGCATATTCATGTAGCAACATTAAATCTTGATGAAAGACACCATTAATTTGCACATTTTAATCAAATTCTTACCCTCAGGCCAAAATGAACAAGTGTTTCTGAAGGAGTAAAACAAATAATACTCTGTCTTGCCTCTTCCGCCAAAACAATGTTTTAATTATATGAATTGTGTGTGG